AAACCTGTAAAAAAAATCCTTTCCTAAGTCCCCAGAAGGAAGCAATCTCAAAAATCCTTTGATTTCAATGCTAATATTCATTTAAAATATAATTGAAATTATGTTCTTTTTTTGAAGGAAAAGAAATGTTAAAACTGGGACATTCAGAATGCCTGGGCTCAAATTTTCTGTTGCTAATTTAAACTGTAAAAGTAATAGAAAAATGAATTTGTTTCTAAATAATTATTTAAAAATGAGAAAAATATTAAATTTTTAGAAATTATGTAAAAATAAAAACTTACTACTTTTTCAGAATTTTATTTAAACACATATATAGGGGATATATAATAAATATACATTTATTTATATGTGTAAAATAAGGGAAGTGAAAATATTGTTTTCCTTAAATATTTAATAAGATTGTTTGCATAGAACTGAAGAAACTATTCCAAAGTTTACAGCTATATGCTAATTCAAGTATAAATAATTCTGTATATATATGTATATAGATCTAGATATGGATAATGGGAAATGAACTTAGGACCTCACAGTTGCTAGACAAGCTTTCTACTAGTGAGCTGTATAACCAGTCCTTAAACTAAAGGTCTAAAGATATAAACCTGGGTAAATTAATAATGCTCCAGAAATGCTGAAACAATACAGATGGTGCTTTAACATTTTTAGTTAGAGAGTTTTTATTAATTTACATAGTTCTTCAATATGCATTTTCTTCAATGATACAGATCATTTTGATTTTTTTATTCTTTTAAGATCTACCATTTGTAAACTGAGAAGTTGTTCATATGTTTTATAATTCAAAACAAAGATATTCCCTTTTGAAAAGGAGAAGCTGTATAATAAGTTTACTAATAATTCACAGAATGCTTGAGGTAGTGGTCAAACAAATGAGGAAAGATAACATAAATAGACCTGAAAGAATTGGAATGAGATGCTGGAGGAACAGCTTGGCCATATAGCTTGTGGTGAGCATGTTGGAGGAACAGCTGGGCTGGAACCTGGGTTTAGTTTCCAACACCAAAACAAAACAAAACAAAACAAAAAGACCATCTTTAAGAATCTAAAATGAGGTGGCCATTCTAAACTGTAGATAATGTGATTGCATGAAAAACAACAGGTGAAAGGCACTGGTATGTTACTGGTAGCATAAGGAGATAAGGAAGGGAAAATTGCAAAAGGTACAGAGCAATGTATATTCATTTATATTTCCAAAACAAAACTTTACAATAAACTTCAAAATTATCTCTAGCGAACATAACGACAGGAACAAAACACAAATGCAAGAGGTCCCCATCTGAAATGCCCTGAGTACAATGAGGGTTTGTCCTGTATCTCTCACTTATGGGAGGAGAAGGAAAGAAGGAAGGAAGGAAGGAAGGAAGGAAGGAAGAGAGGAGGAAGAAGGAAGGAAGGAAGGAAGGAAGGAAGGAAGGAAGGAAGGAAGGAAGGAAGGAAGGAAGGAGGGAGGGAGGGAGGG